AATTTTAAAATGTTCAACTTTGGGTAAAATGCAGCGCTTATCTCTGCCACTTTTCACCCAGCCGTCCAATCACAGTGGAGGAGGGGCGGGACAAACATCGCCAACTGTCTAATTGAACAATGACTGAACAACAATGGAGAAGAAGTAAATATTGCTGGTCTCCAACTACCCATGTCTGTAATAGATGACATCTCTGGACTACAACAATATTAATATAAAAAAAATACATGCTTGGAGCAACATTTTGCAGGAACAACTGGGTAACCAAGCAATCGTCACTATCGGCAGACACACTATCAGCAGTGTATGTTGCACGGTAAGCAGCATTGGTGAGCATGTAGAGCAGGAGGTGTTCAGACGTCTACCAACATCTGCATCCTCTTTGCCATCATGGGATGATCCTCAAAGCAGGGCATTCATTCGTTCTCCAAAAGCTGCAAGCTGTTTTCAATTTTGCGAGAAAAAAATTTTTTTGCATCTAGCAAGAATTCCAAGATTTCGTGCTTTGTTTCAAAAGCACTTCATTCAGTCAGCACTCGGCAGATCGTCTCTGGCACTGCATCGAGTGTGTTAACACACTGCTTTGGCGTGGTTTGGGCTGTGAAGTCCATGGCTCATTTGGCCTAATGACAAACCTGCAGTCCTTGTGCAGCTCAAGCCCCAGCAGGAGATCTAGATTTAATGTGTCAAGCTCGGCCAAAATGCTTCCAAAAACCCGATTCCACTGCCAGCTTTCGCTTTTACAATAAACACTTGCTAACTTATATAGCTGACATTAAAGTCTGGCGAGCTCTTGAATCTCTAAGCGTTCCTAAATTACATACGGGATTCGTAAGCAGATCGAGGAATGTTACTATAGCACGTCTCTGTTTTCAGCCAAAGCTTTCAAGACCAGATGAGGTTCCTTCGAGCTGAACCAAATCTGGGCTAAATGTGATGATGTGTTGGCTAAAAGTGACCTGCAAAAACAAAATGAAATCGAACCCGTTTAGCAGCCGCAAATAACAAAAGGCCAAAAGCTGAAATAAGCCTTATAATTGTCAGTCTTGCGTTCTGGACACACCTGTGTGGACTAACTGAAGCAGCGTGACCGCACTGACTAACATCATTACTATCACGCTGCTCGAAGGCGAGCGTGACAGAAATTACCTTAATGTGTCGTGAGAACGGATAGACAGACTGGAAAAGAGCAACGCATGTGTTTAAAGCTCTGGCGGGATAGACTGTCTCGGTGACCTCTGACCCTGCGATAGCCTCAGGCTGACGAGCTGCTCATGACGACGGCCGTCCAGAGCTCAAGTTAATTGTGCATGTGATGAGAGCATTTGGACTTCAAAAGGCCCATGCATGGGGAATTGAGTTTTACTGCGCTGAGCTCAAACACACACGGCATACAGTACACACAAGGCTTCTGCTTAAATGCTTGAACATCAGGTTTCTAGACAAATATGAGTTAAGTCTACATATATAGGCATATGTCTACAAAGTACAGAAAATGCTTCTCACATATGTTTACAAGCATCCCAGGAAGTTGCCTCATGAAGTCGGTTAATGAATGCCCAAAGTGAATCTACACTAAGAAGAATCTCAAACATAAAAGAATGCATTCATGTATTTTAGAGTTCTCACTTTACTGTTAATCTAACATGTGGAAAACAGTCAGCAGTAGATGCGTCCAAGTGTCTACTGTAACAAATCATAATGATTTTAATGGTAAAAGATTGTAAAAATACTACAGTAAAAACCTGTTAATTGGTTAACAGTAGGTTTTTTCAGCTGCTTACACACATTTTTAAAACTTTGCCTCTTTTTCTCAAAACTTTACACACAAATCCAACAATTGCACACACAAAATGCAAAATGCCTCACATCTGTTGCAGAATGAAGCATTGCATTCAAAATATCACAAACACATCTCAAAAGCAAACATTTGCAAACACCTTTGCCATAATATTAATTCCTGTTAGATTTGTGTGTGTCTGTCAAAGGCTGAGAATTAGAGTATGGTTTTGCAGATTTGGTGTGTGCTTCTGCTGTTTGAGTGTCAGCTTTCAGAAACTGTGTGACGAGTAAAGATTTTGTGTGCAAGCAGTTGAAAAAAACTGTAATCAAGTTATTGTGTAGCTTCTTTAAGGAAAACATTTTGAAATGAAAATGTCCCAAACTGTATATTTTTCTGCAGAACAAAAAAAGAAGATATTTTGCAGAATGATGGTAAACAGTTTTGGTCACCATTTGGGTACCATTGACTTTCACTGTATGGACAATAAAACAGACATTTCTCAAAATATCTTCTTCGATGTTCCACATACGAGAGAAACTCTAACGGTTTCGGGGAGTAAATGATGACAGATTGATCATGTTTGGGTGTACTGTCCCTTTAAGATTATTCTCATGCATGATGTCATTTACTGGCCTCTGTTTCACTCAGGCTGGTCACTTTAAGATCAGGACGAGTCTGACACTGCTCAACGTTTTATTCTGATGAAAAGTGACTAATCTGAGGTGTGTCAGACTGTAGACTGCTGATTCCCAATGCAAACAGTGAGCCGTGTAATACCATCTGTGCTTTCATCGCGACAGCGGTGTGGTTTAAGCATTTGTGCTCATTTGCATTACAGCACTGGAAATAGAAGCAGTGCAGTTTTCCACAACACTCTGAACTGAAACAGCAAGAGAGTCAGACGAGCGATTCAAGCCTGATCCAGACACACCTGATGCAGGGCATGAGTAGAAGTGTGTGTGAGATGAAGGAGAAACAGGAGCAGGCGTGAGAAACCCTGGCCTACTGAAGCTGCAGTGCATCACGTGAACCACTGACCACAAACACACACAACACTCACTGTCTTTTACGTTTGCATGTCTTACTATCAGCTATGATTATTCTACTCTGTTAATTAAAAAGCTGTTTATATGCAATTCCGCTAATTGTTTACAAGAAGCACACATGTAAGAGACTGACATTTAGCTGAACATGTACTTGTTTAATTAGTGACTCTTAGCCTGCATTTTAAAATCTTTATTTGAATATGGCAACATTTTTATTTTAAAATCTTTATTTGAATATGGCAACATAATATTGCGATCTAAAATATTTCTATGAATAAATCTCTGACAAAGACTATCAGCCAATCACTGTGTGCATAGCTAATAAGCATGCTGACATCATCCATAGCAACCCCGCCCCCTTACTCTGAGTTTAAGACTTCTTTCTATTCCTTAGCTAAGAGTTTTCTCTTAAAACCTATTCACAAAGCTGCTGACACAAACTTTTACTGCTATTTAGGTGAACTCTTATCAAATGTTTTGTGAATACGGGTCCAGATATATAGCACACGTCTGACCTGCCATCTACAGATGCACTGTCAGATAAAAAAACAACAACAAAAAAGCATGCAAAAGAGTGGTAATCTGTAACCTACCCTTAAATTACTATTATGCACCTTTACAGGTACAAAGATGTCATTTTGATGCAAGCTGTTGACAAAATGTTGAACTTCTAATTGTACAATTTTTGTGCTTTTTTTTCTAAATTTCATGAAAATCTAATTTTTTCACATATTCCTCCAACAGTCAGAGCAGAACATTTAACATGTCTGTGGTTTTTAATAAAGATCCAGCAAATGATACCGTTTGACACCAGACTGCAGCTTCGGATGCATCACTGTTAGACCGAGCCTCATCTCAAAAACAGACCGATCAGTAGAAATTTGACTTTGTTAACTTCAGTCTTTTCACATAAACCTGCCAATGCATCGTTTATTTGCAGGACTGCACTGATTTGCTTTGTTTTATTTTTAACTTTCATAATAAAAATGCTATAATGACGAAGAACAAACCCACAATCAAATATGAGCGTTTGACGATTGTGAGCACAAAGAGAAATCATGCTTTCTGGATACAGCGTAGCGTTCAGACAGATACACGGAGAACTCATTCCACTGGCTGTGAGAACCCAGGGACACTGGCAGGCCAACTGGTAATGCTGGTCTGAATCTGGAGCTTTCCCAAAGCACATTCATACGCTTGAACTGTGAGACTGTGAACTGAGAACGAGAGAGACTGTACGAGCCACAGGACTGACCTCAGACTCCATCTGCTTACTGAATAATGCGGATGAAAGGAACAGGTTAGAGAACAGAAGAAAAGAGAGAAATCGTCTCTGCAACGCAACATTTCCTCTAAATCCTTATGTTACATGTGAAGTGTGAATGAAACTCTGAGCACTTGATTTCAATGGATTAAATCTGTAAAACCTTATCCTTTCATCCTCAGAGCAGCTGTGAACTCTCTCCTCTGAGGCTGCAGCACACATCAGACGCTCTGTGTACTTGTGTCTGCTTTTCTCTGCATTACTTCATCTCAGAGCTGCGACCTCCAACGTGGACAGAACGTGCGGTGGGCGGGGCCTGTCTGGCGTGCCATTGGCTCGTACGCGTTTGATTGGCTGCCAATGACATCATAGCGGAGAGACGCCGTGAGGCGGGATGCTTGGCTGCTTCCGACGCAGTCTGAGCTCACTCGATCCTGGACTCGGTGAAGAAGAGTTAGAGGAAGATGATGGGATGACTCATCCCAAACTTTCATTTGATAAAGAAGAGGGCTGCAGTGCGGCTCTGCGTGTTTCCCGCGGATGCAGTGCGCTGTCCAGCTCCACACTTGCTGAAGAAACACACACACACACACACACACTCTGAGGCTTTCGATCACGCCTGACTGACAGGTGCAGCACTCGAGTGACGTCATCGCGAACCCCTGCGCAATTGTGTCGAGGAAGAGTTGCATTGATCCGGACACGTCTGATTGCATTAGAGTAACGCTATTATGACTTTAATTAATGATACTAACAGACATTAGTACATTATGCAGTGCTCATTCGTGTACATCCAGCTGCACGTTTTAAAATAAGTAGCTCTCTATATTAACCTTTGGAGACGTTGTGAATTATATTTTAAAAAATTTAATTACAATTAAATGCGTTTTAAATGTAGGGCACTTACCTTTTGTTTGTCCATGGTGTCTATACGTTGAAAGTAATCATTCTCATTATGAATAGTCCAATAATCACGAAGGACAGTAATAATATTCCACAGCGAAAAATAATCATTAAATAAATCCTTCAAAGGGCGTCCGTTGAAAGCAGAAGTTATCCAGTACTCGCAGACCCGTGCGTGCTGGCCTAGAACAGAAAACATGCGATGTTAAGTGTAACAAATAAATCATTTAATTATTGTTTGGCTTCATGCACAGTGAAAATGCTAACTATTAAAAAAGCGTTTAATAAACATATGTCTCACAGTCTCCAAATCTTCGCAGGCAGGGCAGGCCCACTTGCATTTAGAGACACAATAATTCGAGCTGGAAATTATTTGGGGATTAAACAATTTAATCAAAATTTATAATAAAATACATTATTCACCTGTGCACATCTATCGAACGCATTGGGCTGTAGAAGCGAAAGATGGAGAGAAAACTTAAATTAAATAAATCCACATTTCTATGAAAGATGTGACAACTTAGTTAAGAAAGTAAACTAACTTCGGGTCTCCAGAGGAGCTGGGCAAAGGTCCGTATCAAGATTAGCGCTTATTTTAGGAGCACAAGGACATCAAAATTAAAAATTAAAAGTCAAACGATCGCTTCAGAAATACTAACATGAGCTGTTCTGCATGGAAAGTTGTCTTTAGATGTCTCATTTCTGGCGTAAAAGTTATGTTAAAAAAATACGTGTTTCAATAAGGAGTGATGGACCTCTTACCTCATATGGTGAATAATTGAATTTTTTTTTTTTTTTTTCTCTTTAGCAAACTTTTTAAAAACTCAACACAGTTCACTGCAATATCAGGTGTCTGAGAAACCAAAGTTAAGGAGATGATTTGTGTGGCGTGTCCTCATACTCTGTTCGGAAGCTGCGGAACAAAGAAACATCGTGTCTTAAGTTCTGCAACAAAGGACCGAGAGCGACTGCTCATTGTACCTGTTGCTCTTTCACACAATCTGAACATTATGCATCCACCTCGCGCTCACAAATCATCGCAGATGGCACCTAAAAGCATTGCATCTAATACTAAACGATTTAATTAGGACATTAAAAGCACAAGTATACTGAATTAATCAGTATGTATTCATGCGCAGATAATTGGAGATATCAACCTCGCGATGAACTACTACATCATCCGGAAGATTAAACAGATCGATGCCTACAGCTTCTCCTGAAACAAACTCGTCTTTCGGTTAAAATTAATTGCGAAATACTTTGCGTGCGTAATTTTCGGTCAACTTCCTTCGCCAATCAACTTTGACAGCTTTGTCTTCCTGCGCCATCCTTAGTCCCACATGAGCCAAAAGTGGAAAATAACTCTCACGCTTTTTCATCCTCTCGTTTTTGCCATCCACACTTTCTTCATATTTCATCTTCATCTATAGTTTGAGCATCTCGAGTCGCCGCTGAACAAAGGACCGCTCCTCCGGCTTTGTGTTCAACTTTGCGAGCTGACGCACCAACTCTTGGAGAACTTTTCCAGATACACATCCACAGACGAAACCGATCTGAGCGCGAAGCAAGCTTAACCTGAGCGCGTGCCGATAACTCACCTGGGCGCTTCGCGAGGTCCTGGAAAACTTTCCCCTGCATGTTTGAGTTGTGTTGATGGTCCCTTTGTCTACACGTGTGAAGGGGTTCTTGGCCGCGCCTTGTTCCTTTCAGTTCGAGTCCCGCCCTCTACATACAACTAAATAACAACACAGAGAGCAACTTAGTTTTGCGTGCCTGAGAAATCGGTGAATTGGGGATGGTTTTGCTCTCACGGTACAAACACGGAGACACCGCGAAGGAGCATTTGTTTCTTTTACAAGTCAGTCGTGTTCTCCAAGGGTCTGTGCCATTGAAGGTTTCTCTGGGCACAAGGACGTGTCTGCTTTGCTGATGTTTTACCCAAAAAACTGAATGGATTATGACTAAACCATTAAACCATTGCATTTCATGGAGCTGTAATAACTTGTATTGAGACGCCCCATGAGAACGCACTTAAACTTTAGGATAAATAATAGGCCCTATTTCTTAGCTGTGTCAAAACAAAAGGTTAGGGGTTCTTTTACTAAATATATAGGCTACATGTATCGGATAAGTTAGTTAGAACAAGTAGCCTAAATAAAACGTGTTTTATTCAAACGCCTATGCTAGGGGCATCAACAAACATTTATTTGTTTGTTTGTTTGTTTGTTTTCCGTGATATTATATTCAAATCCGACCCCCTGAATGTCATTATAGTGTTCAGTGGTCAGAATAGGCCTAAGCCTGACTCCCAGTCATCTCCAATACACCTGAATTCACCCTAAGCATGACTAAGTTCTGACATTTTACATTTAAATGCGACGATGTACGTTAATGCAATGACATTTATTTAACTATGTTTAATGCATAATGTCAACCAACACGTTCTGCTGCGCTGTTCGAGTGTCCTGATATATGTTAGGAGAATACGGTAATTTTAAATACAGTTCATTCAAATGTAATCTAATATATTATCAAATAATTATAAAATTAATCTGCAGTGATAAAATCACAAATAGTGATAATCTGGATTACGTAATCAGACTCCAAAAAGCAAGTACTTGTAATTAGAGTAAATTACACTTTCAAATACTCACAATCAGACTACAGTTAGTTTTTTATTGATTGCATGGTTACATATCATTCACACAATAGCAATAAATTATTCATAATTCCTCTTTTTCATCTTTTAAATTTCCCTTTCTAAAATAGCCTACCACTTATATACACTCAGAAAATCCAGTTTTGTGGTCATTCACACAGAGACTAGCCATTAGTCAGGTGACCACTGATTTACATAAATGAGATTTTAAAATAAATATTGTAATAATTATGCATCACATTTGCATGTTAACGGTTCTCTGACATTGGTTAATGGTCACATGACATGCAGGTAAACATAAAATATTTAATCTTTTTTAGTAAGTGTTTTATTTTGATTCTTATTTTAAAATGATTTGTTTTCATTTCATTTGAGTCGCATGTGTGTTCCAGAGTTTCAAGAGGAAGGCGTGCAGTTTCTGAGCAAAGTCCGACTAAATAAAACACAATAAAGTTATTATGACTTAGAGAAGAGTTTTTAGTAAGGCACTTAATTCACATGTGGTTAACATGAAAATCCAAATAGCTTAACACTGAGAAACTAGTAAGCTTAACTGATAAGGTGTATTTAATGATAATATAGGAATTTGTAAACGACAATTGTTGAGTTCATTAAGCAAAATATAAAAAGTGTAAAAACCTCTACTGAACATTAGTAGTTCCTTCAGCTCTGATCTATGGTTTGCTTGGCTTCAGATGACACGAGATTTGATTAAGATATTTTAAGTAACTCTTGTTTATGCATGTGCAGCAAATTTCCTCAAGCATTTTCAGTAATGAGTACTGTTTTATTTTCTCCCAAAACTGACACCTAAACATAAATGTCATTCTGAGAAAATATCTACCATCGTTTAGTTGCAAATGCACTCATTTTTGTATTATAGCATTGAATGCAAAACATAAAAAGATAAGATCTGAGAGTCTCAAATGAGCATTTTCGTTACTCACCATAAGTCTACAGTAAATATTAGACCTTTGGATATACATTATCTCTTGCAATGACAACAGAGCCGAACTAACAGTAAGTACAGTGACAGCAAAATGCATTTCTAGGAAACACTGATCATTCAATTTCATGCTTACAATGCTGGCAAACTGACCATTGATAATATATCATTCTTAGTTACTGAGTGATAACTACAATATTTGAAACTCAAAGATAATTGTGACTAAGGCATGTTTATAACAAAGGAGCAAATTGACTGGATTACACCATTTGAACAATGAAACATGAATCACTAATTCACACATATTTATGTTTTATTCCACCAATAGTATAAAATAGCAATACAAATGTTTATTATCATTATTTCAAAACGTTATCAGTTATAATAATGATATTTTGTGACTGATCACAGGTAAAACACCATGTAAAACATGTTTAACACATGCATGTTTTTGCACTTTTTAAAGTGATATTGTATGTTGTTTACAAAAGCATAGTGTTACACACTTTCATTTCACATTTACATTTCACAGTGTATATGCAGGACACACACTGTGCAAGAAACACTGGTAAACACCTTTTCAAACTGTGCTCCCGTCTTCAGTCCTGTTCATCAGCCGTCCTGACAAAACCTTAATAGGTTGTATTTACACCTCAAGTGTTCTAGTTAGTGTGCGATCAGCACAGAGCCAGCATCATCACACTATACCTCAGGAACAAACTGCTTGAGTTCAAAGGAACTCAACCTTCATTTAATATGCACCATATTTCAAAAGGATGGGATTAGTAGAGGCTCTTTTACATTTGAACACATCAGTGTCACAGAGTCCTGTGCAGTTTTAGTTCAGGATGCCGCCGTATTTGGACCTTTTGGATTTATTATTATTATTATTATTGCATGAAGGCCATTTGAAATATTACAATAAACACATTCAGTACCAAACTGTATACAAAAAGGCAAACTGTATATTTAAAAAATCATATTGACAATTGGACGTACAAAATCAATCTTGTTCATCCTGAAAGATAGAGCATAAAAATTAAATATAAATTCAATAGTTCAATATAATAGTAAGATTAGTCATAGTGACTTATTTCATAGGCCAGTTGTTGACAAAAATATAAAATTCATAATTTCATAATTAATGATCACTTACACTGTCTGATCCCACGTTACTGACTGAAACACAAAAATCAAGATACAGTACAGTGTAACTGTTCCTGCATTAATAACCGTATTCTATTTGCAGAAGCAACAACAACAGATCAGTAAAAGGAAGCAGGTGTATTCTCACTTTGTGCAGCACTGCTTACAATGATATTTTAGGCTTATATTTGGCTACACATCATGAAAAATACTATGAGACCGGCTCTGCTGTGATTTTGTAAGGCAATGAAAATGGAGAAACCGGTGCCTGTCTTCTTTTACACTCTAGCGGCTGCCAGAAGTGTCTTATGAAAGATAAACCTTTTTCTTTTTATGGAGGAAACAGTAATGTAATGTGCTGCCTACAAGACAATGACTGCACCCACGCGAAACTGCACCGAGGGTGCTTACAATGTACTATCTGAGCTTTCTTTCTCTGCAGTCCTCAGACACAGGCAGGTTTCTCTCCACTTCTTGTCTGACACCCCTCCCTCTGAAGAACAGATCTGGCCAAAGAGCCCTGCTGAGCTGCTCATCGGCCGCTCTGGAAACTTCCACACCACGGCCAGAGCAATGTGCACAGACTGTACAATGCAGAATCTTCTATTGGGTGTGCAACAACAGCAAAGCTTCGTTTGAATGCATGCATTTCCAGTGCCACGTGGTTTGCTTATATGCATTCTTAAATGTAGTCACATATATTGCACTGTGCGTGTGGGTGCAGTTTAATGGCAGTACAGGAGAAATATCATGCATGCAGTCGTTAGCAGCCCATCCCCCTCTCTGAGAGCCCAGACTGTCTGAGGAAAGGGAGGGCAGATGATTAGACAAAACAAGATTTCTACACAGCATATTGCACAGAATGGATGAAAATAAAGTTAATATATTTCAACTGTATATATAAAAATCCTTAACGAGCATCTTGAAATTAAGAAAAGGCTAAGCAAGTGTGTATAAAGATAGTGCCTGTCGAAATAATGCGCAACAACATACATAAACACACAATCGTCTTGCCTATGATACAGCTGTACAAAGATGCTTTTTTTCTTCTTTTCTTTCTTTTTCTTTCTTCTTCCTGCGAGTAGGACATCAAACATAGCGCCATCTATCCATTTAAATAATCCTAACGCTAGTTTAACTGTTCGACAGTTTTACAGAAATCTCAATACAAGAGAGGACAGATAACATGCGTTCTTTTTTTCCTTTTTCTTTATGTATAAAACGGCTTGCCTTTTGTCAACCCACCTTATTAATAAATCCGCCGTGATGAAAATCAGCCTAAATTTCAGTACCTCTTTAAACAATCAAGTCCACAAGGCGAATGGTTAAAGTTCATAAACGTCTCTTTTGAAGTAAAAATGATTAGACAGACGACCAAAGCCCGCCTTCGTGTAGGTGCAAATCAATCACAGTTTTCCAGTTCAGACCGTGTTTTCTCAAGCACTCCTGCTGGATTTCTTCCTCTCGCTCCGAGCGCGGGGAAGTGACTCCGGCCCTGCCGCGACAAAGCGTCTGACGCGCGGCTTCGCTTTTCCATCCTGTCCGCGTTTCACCAAAGGTGCTACAAACTTCTGTTGTAGCTTCTGGAGCCTTCACACTGTGGCTTATTTTACAAACAAACACACTTGTCTGTTATCCCTTGTGTTCAGTGTTCTTCCTCAGACGCATTTCCCCTAGTTCAGCACGTGAGCCGTGAACACCAAGTTAGAAATGGTGGACTCCAGCCAGTCCCCTGAAATCATCTCGCTCACCTCCGGCGTGCAGTAGTCGGGGAACTCGAAATGAGAAGCCCCGGACTCGAAGTGCATGTCGAAGTCTCTGTCCAGCACCGACGAGCCGATGCTTCCCAGAGACATGCTGTCAAAGCCTGGGCTCGGGTTAACGTCCAGCATGTCGTCGTCGAGCTCCTCGTCGGAGGAAGAGGAGAACTGCGATGAGGAAGAGGACGAGTGTGACGCGGACGGAGCGGGCGAGGACGCCCGCATGGTGGTGTACCTGTGGCGGTCCGAGGACGAGCTGCTGGGGGAGTCGGCGCCCTCCTTGCCGCTGCTGGCTCCGTCCTCGTACAGACTCAGCGGGTCGCTGGACTCGGCGGAGCTGCTCAGGGTCGGGCTGCCGGGCACGGCTGCTGAAGACGGACTTATGCCGCTGCTGCCTCCGAAAATGTACACCCGCTTCGCCTTCTTGTCGGTAATCTGCTTGGAAGCCGACGCTGACTTGGATTTGTAAAGAGAGTGGTGATCCGCGGGGAACGCTGCCTTGGCGCTGCCCAGAACTATTTTGTGCGGCTTGCTCGTGGATCTGGGGCTCCCGCTCTTCTTGGCCGGTTTGGAGCCGGCGCTGGCGCAGCTGAGCTTCTCTCCCTTCTCGCTCGGTTTGGAGCCGCTCGACTTCACCTTTTTTCTCGGCCGGTACTTGTAGTCGGGGTAGTCTGCCATGTGCTTGAGCCGCAGCCGCTCCGCCTCTCGGATGAAGGGGATCTTGTCGCTGTCTTTCAGGAGCTTCCAGCGCTTGCCGAGTCTCTTGGAGATCTCCGCGTTGTGCATGTCCGGCGACTGCTCCATGATCTTGCGCCTCTCGATTTGCGACCACACCATGAACGCGTTCATTGGTCTCTTAATGTGACCGCTGGGGGTTTTGCACCAGCCGGGGTCAAGCTTGTCCGCGCCGGACTCCGTGGAGCCGGGGGTCGGGGAAGAAGCCATGTCCAGATCCAGCGCGCCGGAATCGGACGAGTCCCCAGCAAACAGCGCATCGGGTTTTTCCGTGCTGATTGTTTTCTGGACCATCGCTACAGCGGTCTGAGAGCAAGAGAGCGTGCACTCTCAAGTCCAACGTGTCGCCAAAGAAAACTCAGTCTGATAATAGTCCTGAGGAGAGCTGGTGCACCAAACACGCGCTTTCAGTCGTGCTCAGTGCGGTGGCTTGGCGTGTCTTAAAGTTCTGTCTCGGGGCTTTATCATACAGTTCACGGAGCTGAAACCGTGCCCGATTTCCACATTGTCCGTGCATCCAGTAATAAAGCTGTAACAGTCGATGAGCCGCGGAAAGTGTGTATATGAGCGCAGCTATGCGAGGGCTCAGTGTTAGTGTGTGCGCTGCGACGCAGCAAAGCTCTGTTCAAGTTTCGGAAGATATCTGACTCCTTCTGCATATCCTTCCCCCTTCAAACCATGCGGGAAAACCAGGATGCAATGCTAGCACAAGTGTCCGTCTCTTAAACGCAGTTTGTAAATTTCAACACACTTCTATTCTCTGCCTCATGCGGCTTTATCCGTTTCCAATGGTATAATAGCGACGGCGGCCGGCCAATCAGCGGCTGTCTCTATCCTTCCCCGAGCCAAAAACACGCCCACTCTCTTCTCATTGGCGCAAAAAGGAATCTAATAATAATCAGCGCGTGCAATGAGGAGCGTTGGGTCTGACCTCATTCCATTATACACGACAAACTTAGTTTTAAAGGTACACGCTGATGTGTATTTTTCATTTTTGCATGTCGACAAGGGAGGCGTGATCTTTTAAACCTTATAAATAAAAACACATTCTGCTTACTGTAGAGTAAGAAAACAAATCTGGAGATGTCTATATCAGACTGCATTCACACTCACATATAAAGAAACAAAACAATATTAAATAGCCAATACGTCAATAGAAATTAAAGTATCCTGTCCATGAATAATCGATAGCCTAAAATGGACTTTCTGTGTATTCGCCAGTATCTGCCGCTGGTTTCTCAGCTCAGGGCTGTGTGGGGTGTTCAGTGTCAGAGAGTTCAGTCTGTGCGCATTGATGTTGTGGCGGAATCTGAAGAGGGCGGTCCTTTGTCACAGAACGCACGCCCCAAACCCTAAACACAAGCGGCAGCAGCAGCAGTGTGCATAATCAAAGCCAAGGCTAAGAAACGCTCTCTAGATTTGAGCTCACTGAATGCACTAGGACAAGTTTGCATCGTATGTCACCTCCTCCTCCTCCTGCCCGTGCAACAGTGCTTAATGCTGTTTCACAGAGCCTGGTGCATGTTCTGACCAGGACTGTCTGGAGGTCTACGGTCATAAACGGGTTCGGTTTGAACACTTATTATTTACCCCGACAAGAGCCCCTCCGAGCAAACGCTGGACTGCAGTGAGCGACGCTAGATGGCGGAGTGGAGCCAAGGGACGCAGTTCGTTTGCGGTTAATGCAACAGAATGTATATTTGTCTAAGAATTACATAACGACCATCCAAGAGATGTTTCACAACGGTTTGCCTTACATCCTTGTTATCGTTTACCCGAAGCTCAGGCGTGAGGTCTTTAGTAGCGGCAGGCATCTCGCTGACTGTTAATCAGCCACTGAAACCTTCATTGCGGTTTGTGTTCATGGGTCATGAGAAGAATATTAATAGTTCAAAGCCTCCCAGGAGCCATAAAACGATACGACACATAACAGAACACGTAGAATAGCACGTTAATGCAATAAAAAATTCTCTCATGCATGACATAATTAGGCTACATCATGCTTATTGCTTAGGAATAAAACGTGACTGTGTATCTTTAAAGAGCCTCTAATTTAAAAAATCAATAAATAAAATAAAAACGTCGTATGTCTTTCCTTCCGTTTTATTATTTTCTCCGTGTTTAGAATATTTTTCGATTCTCTGCATCTTTTCAAAACATTATCTTTGATTAAATATGATAAAGCACACCTATAAATAAATGCATGATGGACATGTGTAAATAATGATAATAAAACACGTTATCTTTATTCGCGTGGGGTGTATACCTTTATGGCTAAACAGATCACGATTGTAAACATGCAAATGGCACAGCAGCAGGTGCAGGGCGTCTATAACACACAAACCAACATTATAACTACAACCTACTATCGGATTTATTGGCAGTATTATTGCATGGTCACTGGCATATCCAGTTTTGCTGAGACGTCCAAAGACAACAAATGCACATATGTAAACTTAGTCAGCCATTCATTGCAAAGAATACATCGACAATAAATGTATGCATACTTACACAAGAATGAGAATAATGCTGTTTTAATGAAGTATAGACTACAGGCCATTACTGTTATTGCTTGACATGTAATGCCATCTACAGTTCTTTCACTTCATTCTACGTTTCTGCATTGCACAGCCAACACGTCTAATGATCACTGATGAATAATTGATCCACTCTGAGAACACATATGCAGAGTGCCTGTGTGCACAGCGAGATCCATGTGCTTCTCTGAGCTGATTGTTTAGACACTGACACTGTGTATATGTAGGTCACACATGTACATAAATCTGTGTCACGCACTGACAAGAAAGCACACATCTGCTGCGCTATAATGAAGATATTGATCATCATATCATGCAAAGTGTATTTGAGCAGCTGCTTCAGACGCATCTTATCTAATCGGCTGAGCAGCTGTCTGCTGATGCCCTGGTTAATCATCTCTAGACGCAGCTCCCAGCATGCCTACTGACCAGACTTTTGTTGTCAAACTTTGATTTTGAAAGTTCAGCGAGAGTAGTTCGAACACCTGCCGGTGCCAAGGTTGGATGCAAGTGTAACAGACAGAGATTAGATTAGATGTTGGTCTTTTTATGATGTTGGCCTATGCAGAATGCTGTCTCTCATGTACTTAAGTGTGATGTCATTTTGAAAAAGCTTTAAAGCATTAATAGTTAAAAAAAATCCCTGCTACCTGTTGATGGAGAGGATTTAGTCAGGCTGCTAAAATCCTCTGTGACCTGTGAATTATACACACACACACACACACTCACACTCACACTCACACTCTGAAACAGTCTGCAGTGATTCCCCTGCGGTTTACGTCCATATATACCACAGCTCACTGTTCCCTGGGGCGCTCTGAAAGAGTGTGACAGAAGAAGGTGGCAGGCGTCCAGACGAAGCCCTTGTTTTGAGCTCACTAATGCAAGCATGCTGAGAGCGGGGGACACGGGTTACAGACTCACCTGATCCAGCACACATGATGCTGACACCTGCAATCACAAGCAGAGGCTAAATGCTCAGGTTCTGTGGTTTTGAGTCCACCACCGGACACTGAAATGTGTAGGATCTTGTTCAGTGTCAGACCGACTTATATGTCAGAGGCTCTTGAATTCACTGTAGACTCACACCATCTGAAAATACATTAAAATAAAAAAAAAGACGTGTGAGAAAAACACAACGAAAATAGCTTTAATTACACTTTCTATTGTGGAATAAAATTATACTTTAACTGCACGGAAAACAGAAAAACTGCTGTTCTTATTTCCGGAAAAAGCCTAACAAAATATCGATAGATTCCTGGAAGTGCACAAGCGAAGCTTCAGATTGACACATTTCCCCGTGAAACGACAAAGTGACTCAACACCAATTACAGGCAAACGTCAAGCTCTTCACACCTGATGGGCAGGGGAGGAACTGAGATGGAGATTAGAAATAATGGTTAAAGAAAGTGTGTTGCTGAAGGAGAGGGCCTCGTAGTCCATCTGCTCTCAATTTGCCTTTGCACTCAATGTGAATGTTAAGGAAATGTGTATGCAAAACACTCAGCATTGTCTGGTCGTCGTGTTTTGTTGTTGTGTTTGGAAAGTGGGGCAGATGTGTTTGCCATGCATTCAAAAGCAGAAATGAAATTCTGAAGTGGCATTAACGTCAAATTTATGTCCTTCCTCTTCTTATGACAGGTTTTCTTTTCAAATCTATTGTTATGCACACTTGTCTCATCTGACAGTATGTGGTCATGATCATAGCGACTAACAATAATGCGACAATATGCCTTTAACACAACTAGCGTGAGAGTCGTCAATGCTTGTGACTTCTGTAAGAAACTCTATGCACAATTACATCAATAAATGTAGCCGATGCTTTCATCTAAAAGCAGCTGTTCAGGAAGGGCTGGGAAGATCATTCCACCATATAGAGGTACAGTGAGTTTCACAAAAGTTGACTACGTTACTGGTCAATGTCAGCTTGAAATGTCTAGAGATTCAGTGATGATGTGATTATAGTATAGCTCAGCTGTTAGACAATCATAGACACATGCATCTGTAATATAAATGGTAAAAATGGGTTGTCTTTATATGTCTAATATAGGAGGTTTTATATCTGATTCAAGAAACAGACAAGAAAACACCTTTAGTGTTCCCCATTTTATATGTGTGAGAGAGTGTGTGTGTGTGTGTGTGTGTGTGTTATGAAATTCAAGTTTTGGTGAATACAAAACAGAAATTTTATAATACTTCAGAAATTAGAACTTGTCTTTGAGCAAGGTCTATATAATACAGATTTGTGCTAAAAGATGCTTTTACACTTCTCAATTTACAATCTTATTTGACCATTTTCAGAAGAAATGCAGGCCTTTAATTCATGTATTGAGTATGAAACAGAGCGGTGTTGTTGAGCAGGTGGTGTTGGCTAGACGAGGCAGGTTTTTTGGTCAATTACAGAGGCATATGGTGTATTAACACCTTCACCTGACCACAGCTCCTCTGAAGTGACCTTAGAGCAGCGAGCAATTACCTCATTCAACACGTCCGATGAGCATTGGGCTTGACCTTACGAAAGTGTGTGGGTTTAAGAAAATCTTGACGCTGTGAGGTTTAGGCTGATTGTGTGCATTCATACTCGGGTTTTGAGCGTTGTGTCACAGCAGGTTTAGAGAGATTGATGCCGTCTGCGGTTTGTTGTACAATGGAAAATCACACAAGGTTCCTCTCTGGACTAGAAAGGGGTACAGCAGGACTGTGAGAGTATCAGTTGTCCATAGTGTTGATGACACTATTTTAGAAGGCTTCACCTTCATCCTGCCCACTGCTTTTTCATGTTTGGTGAAAAGAGTAACAGTGTGAAGTTATTTCACTACGACTTCCCTCCTTGTTAAATGAAGTATTATGGTTCGCTCTGATCAGTGGTGGAGCAGCTGTCACAGAACTTGTAACCTTTGCCACTAAATGTAAGAAATATAATCTTATATAAAATATAACACCATCTCATGTTCAAGAGGCTATCAGTGCTATCAGAAGCCCAGAGCTCTGGTGCGAGGGATTCCCTGTCCTCTCCTTCTCTTTCCTCACACTATGGCAGACTGTCAGCTGATCCGTGATCTCTGGGCAGAGTCGGACTGCTTGTGTTTCACTCCTCTCTCCCCTCAGACGCACTGCGGCAGCCACTGCACACACACACAAGTGGGACGGCTCTCTTGTCTTGTCTCTCCCAAACTATTCCTTCTTCAAGTCTCTTCTCGCTTGGAAGGCTTTCTTCGGAGAACGCGAACATGCCTGGGAAGTTTGGAGGCGGATTTCTGAAAAAGCTTGGATCTATACACTCGCTTTCCATGAGGAATACAGCATTTCCCCAAAGAGTGTGTTCGCTTGCAGGAGATCCCAGAGGAACGAGCGTTCTTAAAGGAGGGAAAGCATTGTCTTTCGTCTGCGTGGCACCGGATATCGTTGCAATGGACTCGGATAGCGTTTCTGATCACATTTAAGGCTTTGACCACAGGCCTCTCCCTATCCGGTTCTCGGACACCTGCGATCATCCCATAACCGGATAATAGATTCCTGGGGTCCTACTTTCAGCGGTGAATCGGGGAGAGAGTTGCCCCAGACGAGCTGACCTAAATCGATCCCAGCACTGTCTGGAAGCGGCGAGCAAAGCACAGCTGCGCAGCTCCTCAGCAGTGAGTGTGTGTGTGTGTGTGTGTGTGTGTGATTGTGTGTGTGTGTGTGCGTGTGTGTGTGTGTGTGTGTGTGCAGTGGATCTCCATCATGTGGAGAAGCAGAGGGACTGCAGACTCTCTCTCTCTCTCTCGGAGCGGCTGGAGGGAAACTGGCACGCCCGCCACATCTCTTGGGGACCAGCTCCTTTCCAACAGCTTCTTCCTCGTCTCCTCCAGCAGTGATCAATCAGTCAGGCTCTGGCGGCAGTTTGATGGAGAATTAGTCGCTGCTCTGAGCCGCTCTTATCAGCCGGCGCTGGGGAACACATCTAGCGTCTTCGTCTGCGGAGCTGAGAGC